CCCCTTCCTCTCCCTCCCCTCCTGCCTTGCCTTTCATCCCCTCTGTCCTTTCTTCCCTCCCCCTGTTTGATATGATGCCCCGCTTCAAGTTGCCTGATTTGAGCGACTGCCTGGTTGATGTGATTCTCCCCTCCTCCCCACACCCAGTCCTTAACATTTATCTCCATCAAAAATTGCTCCCTTGATTGCTACCGTCGTCACCCAATGCATACAATGTTTATTATTATTAAGTACTATTAGTATAGTATGCGCAACGTGCATCCCCCCGGACTGCGAAGAATTCGGGCCTTTGTTTTGCCACTGTACGCCATCCATCTATAAACGACAGCCACGCATGTCTATTTGACGATGTATTAATGACAGAATTCTGACCGTATTCGGCTGCAGATCTCCAGCCAGCTCCCATGGTAGTACTCCCTTGCCCACTTTCATTCACGCGTCTACCTTCCTTTTGCAACCAGTCCTTTGTTCTTTTCCACCTCCGAGTCCCCTCCTTTCTGGATTTGCTGCTTGATGGGTTGGTCATCTTCTTTCCACAGTGGTCGTTCCCGATACCATCAAGCCCTGTCAAGAAAAAGAAAAAAAAAAAAAAGAAGGAAAGAAAAAAAGGTCAGCTAAGCAGACCCCCAGCCACATCTCAAAGGTATAATTGTAGCTTCTAATAGAATGTATGGTCATTATACTTGTATTTGGCGCAAGCTTCTGTCCAGATACGCAGCGAAAATGACCGTAATGTGTTCTATTTGGGGGAAGAAGGGGGCACTGCAGATTTCAGATGGTCATCTGTGTGCATGTGAAGTGTGGATGGATGATGTTTGCAGATAATTTGCTTGTGCATGTTGGTAAGAGCATCCTCGCTAAGCGAGTCACCCAAGCTTTCTTTTTTTTTTTTTAGGTCACCCAAGCCTGAAGTTTCCTTTATTAAAAAAAAAAAAAAAAAAAAAAAAAAAAAAAAAAAAAAAACCCCCCCCCCCCCCCCCCCAAAAATATATAAATAAAAAAAAAAATAAAAAAAAAAACACAAAAAAAAAAAAAAAAAAAAAAAAAAAAAAAAAAAAAAAAAAAAAAAAAAAGCCATCAACGCATGGGGGGCCCCAGCCAAGTTGAGAATCGCGACTGAGCCTCTCCCAAACTTTCGAAGTCTCGGGACAGGGCCTCCCTGAACGAGTCCAAAGGGCGGGTGGAAAAAAAATTAAAAAATTATCCCCTGCCTTGGGGTTGTTGGACCAGGCGCGGCACTGAACCCAAAACAAATTCCCACAGGGTCATGTTTGCCGCCATTACTGCTGACCGTTCCGACAGAACAGACTGGCGGGCCCAAGGAAAAGGGCCCATCTGCGGTCTATGTGTGGGGTCATGGCAAAGGGCTACCTGTCATGGGACACATTTGGGACTCGCTGCCAGGTTCCGTCAAGTAGCCTTGGAAGTAGGTTCGGCTTCAACAAGTCCTTTTATTTTTGCCACGTGCTTGTGAAGTTGTGAATTTTATTTGATGTTCGATTCAAAACTCTTTGAATCCTTTAAAAAAAAAAACTAGGTTAATATATTCTTCTCTCAAATCTTTCATTTCTTTCCTTTTTTTTTTTTTTTTTTTTTGTAGATAATTTCTTTTCTTTTCCAATTTACTATTTTAATTTA